GGGCGGGAGTCCCGCGGCGGGCGCAGGAGGTTTACCTGGTGCTCGTCCCCGGATCCTCGCTTCGGCCGCTCTTCGCCCGCCCGCCCGGGGGCTCCGAGACGGCGCCGCCGCCGCCGCCCCGCGCTGGAACTCAGACACCGCAACATTCCATTCTCCCCCCGGGGGGGGCGCGGCTCAGCCAATCCGCGCGTCCCGGCCAGAGCAGGACCGTCGGGTTCTGGAACGCGGAGACTCAGCATTCCACATTGGCCACGCCCCTCGCGGCAGGTTGACCAATCAGGGAGCGGGAGTAGGAGTAGGATCCTGGGACAGAGTGGAGTAAAGGGGGACAGGACCGAGGCGGCGGGGAGGGAGCTGTCTGCGCCGAGCACGGGCAGACTGCGGCCGCAGGCGCCCCCGAGAGGGGAGAGGGCGTAGCGTCTAGTGGACCGCTCTCCTCTTGGCCCAGCAAGCGGGTGGCCCCTGCTCAGCCCGGGGCCGCCGCACGTGCAGCCCAGAGGCAGCGTTTCTTAACTGTGAAATTATCGTATTGCAAGTTCACAATGATCGTATTCGCTGAAAAAAAACTATTGTACACTGAAACACTGTGCAAACACGTATGCGAGTCTTCTCCCTTACTTTATATTGCTCACTCTAGTCTAGCTCACTCTGTCCAGCGAGTGAGTGAAAACTGGGTTAGCAAAGTGGAAGCATTTCTTTATTTTGAGGCAAGCAAGCATAAGAAAGTGCTGGTAGCAAGCCCCAAAGTCAGTTGAAACTCCCAGAGTATGACTTGGGTTTTTTAAATATGTTGCATCAATTAGCTGCCTCAAAAATTATCATATTTTTTGAGCACTTGTACTATTATTGATTGTACATTGTACAATTATTGTACAAGTGTGGTAATTACCATGCACCTGGCATCACTGCCCAGAGGGCTTCCAAGAAGGGCTTGTGGCTGTGGGTGTGGCTGATGGACCCTAGAGCCCCTAGGTGTGGGCTGGGCCTGGGGAAGCATCAACTCATTTTGTTGCAAGGCTATCCCAGATATTCCTGCCATTAAACTGTGAAGTGGTCCTAGCCAGAGAACGGCACGTTTGCTTCTTGTGCACCTGCAGACAGCAGTTCACATTGTACTCCTGGCTGCCTTGGTGAGGAGAGGCCCTGACTGCTCATGGAACACTCTGGTAAGCTCTCAGGCTGGTTGGCAGCACTTCCCGGCTACGTGGTTAGGAGGGACAGAGACTTAACACGTGGCCCAGAACAGATTTCAAGTATTGCTTTTAATAAGCCTTAAGATCAGTTTTATTGCCCCCCCTCCCCCCGCGCATCCCACCCCCAAAGGGATCATGCCACATAATTTAACTTCTTGGTGCGCTTCTGCAATGGAATGACAACATGGCTGCAGTTTTTAAAATGCTCCACCTGAAAGAGGCTGTGAAGCTTTTGTAGAAACTTCTTAGAAGGTTGAGCTGCATGATGCATTGTGGCCGGTACTGCTGTGACTGGTGGAAATGTTTTCACGGGCTGGAAGAGCACAGGAATTTGCCACTGTAAATGAATTCATGGTTTTGTGTTCACTTAGGTTTTCCGTGGCATTTGTCAGGTGAGAACCCCAACATCAAGGCCGTTCTTTTGTATGCAACTGATCTAGCCCAGAAGTGTCTTTATTAAAGAAGTTACATTTGCTTGACTGCTTTTGTGCATTGTGGCTGTCTGGCATATAACATCTGCAATATAGTATGCATTGCATATAGAAGTCCTTCAGTCCTTGATCTGAGTGCAGTAGCCATTGTGGACAATGCAGTGAATCCAATAGGAAAATTAAGGTCATACTTTTGTAATCTGGTGATGCGTAACCTTGTCATGTGCATAGATGTTCACTGATGGTCATACATGATGCATGCCCCATCAGTCCAGAACATACTTTGAACCCTGAATGTCCGTATCAGAGCTTGGAGGATGTTCCTCTTGTCATAGAGCCATATAAAGTGAGCAAAATGGTATAACTACCAGAGGCACAGTGCCTTGGCATAGGCTGACAAGAATATTAGACACTACTGAAAAGCACAGCCAAGAAAAAAAGAACACATCCTCATGTATATTCAGTTTACACCCTTCTTAAGGGTATATCTTGCAGCTATAGTTCTGCATCTAGAAGGTTTGCATAGCATCTTCTTCAGAGCTGTCAGTGATACCCTTTGATGAGGATTTGCTTATAATCAGTGTGAGCTACTCTTAGCCAGTGAAGTTTTGGGTAAAAATTCTGAACTGTGCCCACAAATGCTGGGTACCTTGTTTTGACACATACACTTTGATTTTTAGAGCACTTACAATTCTGTCTGAAATCTCTGATGTTCAGCAGTGGATGTTCTGATATCCAGGCTCTTTAACCAGTCAAGCACACTGAAACAGAGGTACCTAAAATTTAGTGGCAATGTCTGAAAATGTAGATTTTCACACAGTTCTCCATAGGGTCCTTGGGGATTGTAGGAGCCTACTCTGCTCTATAATTGAGAGACTTGCTCATGCTCACTATCCATAATATTGTTTCATTTTTAATGAGAACTGATAGATCTGTCAAGATATTAATAATGTTTCTTTTCCAGGTTTTCACTATCTCTAGTAACAAAAAAGACAGTAGCTCAGTTTACGTTTTAGCTCAGTTTGTATTTCAGAGCTAAAACATTTGCCCAGTCATAGGAACTTGCAAAGATTGGTTTTGTCCAAGGGTGTTTTTTTGATGCTTCACACGCCACTGCTGCTTCTGAATTTTGTAAGTGGATTAATCATGCATATAGATTAAACCCATTTCTATGGTGTTAGTAAGGGTTAGTTGACTGGGTCTCTAAGTGCAGATGTAGTTTTTAAAAGGTAGGAATTACAGAGGGAAGAAGGCTTGGCGTATAGTAGCCGAGAACAGGTTGTTGTGTTGAGTGGACATTTTCATCTTGATTCTGTAGTTTTATTGCAACACTCTTTTTCCTGTGCTGTTGGTGAGACATGCTAAGGATAGAGATCAAATACAGAGGAACACTGAATAAAACAGAAATCTTTAAGCCGTGGCTGGTAGGCAACTACTTTTTTTTTTACCTGCCTCACCCATGTGTCATGGGAATGAGTGTAAATGCATTGTTTAATGATGAACCCATATAACAAGATCTTAAACTGATTTAAAACAGTACTACAAAATTGGAAAGGTCCCCGTGCATTCAATTGTAATACTAGGTTTGATGTAGTTTGCTGTTGAGAAAATCTAACATTTGGGTTGGCTGAACATGGTGACAAGATTATTGTTCTTCTCTCCTTCCTCAGTTCAAAGTAGAATAGGTCAGCTAACTGCTGTACAAGTTTAAAGGAGACCCCTTTCTCTGAAAAGTGTGTGCTATCACTTGTCTTTTTACTAGTCAGTTGAGAACTGGCCTTTTCATCTTGGTTTGAGAGTTCAGTGGAAAAATAATCTTACAGTTTAGGAAATGATCCTAGAGGCCACCTGACATATGGGTTATTGAACTGATGGGTGTTTCTTTTCTCTTCGGGTTTCAAAAATTCAGTCAGGAAACCCTCAGCTTGAAGTACCAGCCTTTTAAAGTCACTTTATCTGATTGTAGTTGCCTCTACTTAATCTATTGCCTGTGGCATCTTCTTCAACAGCAGTAGGTTTTCAGTAGCTGAAATCTTCAGCCTAAGTGGGATACAGTAATTTCAAAGCAAGAGAAGGAAATATGCAGCTGTTCAGGCTGAGTCAGCCAAAGGTAAGCTCTGCAGGGGAGAAAATGGGTCTTTATTATCTTCTGTTGGCAAAGTTACTAGAGCAGCCAGCAGGAAAAGGATTAGACTGTAATGTTAGCAAAAACATCTGGCAAGTTTTGAGCAAGGTGTGCGTTCCTTGTGGCTGTAAAAAGCCGGATATTTTATAAAACTGTTGTGAACAAACTGAGTGCAAATGTTCAGTTAATATGCTTAAAACTTCAGAGATGCTGTGGTTGTAAGATCTCTAATAGACACTATATGTACTGGATTAAGTAAATATATCATTAGAGAGTGTATTATATTCCTGTCTATACTTGAAGGTAGAATGTGATATAAACTGTATAAGCATGAGTTACCCATGTTTGATAAACCAGCATGTAAATTATACAGATTATTCCTAAAAAGGGTCAATAAAAGTCTTTATACCACACCACCTTGACCTGCCACTGGATTCAAAAGAGAGACTTATGTTGAGAACTGACTCAGTTTTTAGAATTTGCACTTCTGTCATTTATTTGTCTCATTGCAGTGCCTAAAAGTAGTTATTGTTTCCCCCTATGGTGAAAGGTGAAGTGCCTTTGACTCTAAGTGAATTTGCAGGAAAATTAATAAAGCCTATAAATATATAAAACACTTGAAAACTGGTTTGAGGTATCTTTTTTGGGCTAAAAAGTGGCTATTTCTATGATGTCCTTAATAGGTTTCGCTCTTATACCACCCACATCCAGTAAACCAGGATGAGGTGGGCTACTTGCTAGAAGTTCCAGGTATATTTGGCCCAGTTAATATAAACAGCTTGTGTATGGGAAGTTTCTATCTTTCTTGATGCTGTTGTTTTGATAGATCTGCCTCAAAATCTGTAGTTTATTCTCTTTTTAAAGCTTTACTACTGTGTTTTTCTCGTACATGGAGGTATAGTGTAAGGATCTTAAAGTATTACCTAAACAATAATGATGGGCATGATTTTATGTTCTTTTTACAGATAGGGAGACTGAAGCACAGAAAGTGACATAAGACATGCAGTTGTATAAGACTTGATCATGCTTCCTTTGAAAACGGGAATAGCATGTATTTAACCATTGATTTCCATGGGGAATGGGATCAGCTCACAGTGAGTCACTGCTAGACTGAGGAATAAAACCCAGGAGTCCTGACTCACAGTCCCATGTTACTAACCATTTGACCACATTCCAATTTATAAAGCCTAAGTTATGGGGACAGTGTCAAACGGGAACACCGTACATTCATTCAGAAGCAACTAGCAAATTTAGAAGGTTGCAAATTTAGATCATCCTCATCTTAGCCACCCAGATAAGTCAGTATCTTAAGCACTTTGGTTATGATATCTGTAGAGTCTTAGAACCCTGACCTGGTTGGTTTCTAGGGGCAGCTGGATGTTAAATAATAATTCATTATGAATATGTAAATTGCTCAGGACATAGTCACATCTTAGGTAG